CCAGCAGGATGCCAATCTTCTGAAAAGTCCTCCATGGAACATAGTCACATGGAAAATACCATCAGGATCCATCTTCAATCCTCCTCAAAGAGGGCTGGTCATGAAAGAGAGCCCCACAGTAAGAACATGTCTTTTGCAAAAGCTCAGTATAACTTCTTGGTCCTGGCTCTGTGGATATGCCCTAGGTCAGGGGTAGGCAACCTTGGCTCTTTTATGACTCGTGGACTTCAACTCCCAGAATTGGCTCAGGAATTCTGGGAGTTGAAGTCGAGTCATAAAAGAGCCAGGGTTGCCTACCCCTGCCTAGGTAATCTTTGCCCAGATCTTTACTGGTTTACTGGTTGTAGGTATACAAAATACTCAGTCTGAATAACACTTTTATCAACATTTTCTTCTCTTTTGAAAGGGAACTTGTACAAACTCACATCTTCAGAGTAATAACTGAAATGGGACACTTTTACTACTAGATTACAATTACTCTTGGAATTATCAGAGACATAAATCAGTTAATATAACTGGATTTCAATCAACACATACACCAATTCTGATAACGTTGACCAGCATGAAATATCATGTAGCAATGTTAATATAATTTGAGGATTATTTTTTTTAATAATATTTTTAGACTGCACACTTTTGGTTCATACTATTTTTAATATTTTATTTATATTTTTAATATGTAACAAAATTACCATTTTAAATGAACATTTGATAAACAAATAATGCTATAATTGTACAGGAATATTACTTAAATATTTTTTTTAATGCATAGTATTGCAGAAGGCTACAATCTGTTTCTCTGAAAAGAAATGGCCCTTGACACAAGTGATTGTTGGGTTCCGCTATACACTGAGCAAGCAGACATCTTCCTGACCAAGTGATTTCTCCTGTCTTTCTCCCCATTCAGTACGTATCTGTAGTGCAGCTCTGGAGGACACGAGAGGGAGTTGTAGTAGGACAGAGATAATGTTCTATCAAGGGTGTCCCTTCTGTTGGAAAACAGATGTTGGGGGATTTCATTCAATTTATTCCTTGACTTGAATTTTAGTAGCTGAGTAGTAGGAAGGTATGCATGAAAAGAAGAAAATGCTTTCAAACTCAGAACAAACTCCCACATTCTGGAATTTCTACTGAACCATTCTGGACCATATGTGGTTGAGTGGACCCAAACCCTAGACCACTTTGATTGTTTCATGGCTTAGGTGAAATTAAAGGTAAATAGGGAAGCCGGTATCCTTTCCTCTCTCCCCTTATCAGCTTCTAGCACAGCATATCTGATTAGCCCACCTGCCCTATCAAGGGTCTTCTCTTTCTTCTCAGCTGGCCCATGGTCCAGTCTGTGCTTCCATTTCCTGTTGTTTAGTTGCCTCCATCCTTGGCCTCCTCCTCAGGCCTCATCACCCTCACCCACAATTCCTTTTTTGCCTCCCCCCCCATGTACAGAGGCCCAAAATGGGTTACTCAAAATGGGTCGGCTCAGGTATGGGCCATCAAAAACAACTGTTCCACGTACAGAACATTGCACACAACCGTAACACAATATGGCTTTTACTCCTTCTACTCAGAAATAATATATTTAAGACACATAGTTTACATCTCTACAAATACAATAAAATGTTTAAACAAAATAAAAGACATAATTATATCAAAAGTATTCATAACTTTTTAAATAAAAAAAATCTGTTCTATAAAGACTTAATGGACAAAAAGAAACAAGACTTAATTTTCCCACTTACAGCTGAAGAGACCAATCTGAATTTAGTTAATGTACTACACTAAAATAATAAAACTGATGCTCTGAGTATTGTAAAAGGAAGTTTTGTACAATATATGTAATTTTACTTTATATTTTAAAAGTTTATAAGGCTGCGATGCAGTGTAATTTTAACATTGTGACCTGCATGATTCAGTCATACAATATCATATGCAGTCAAATTAGTTTATATAAATGTAAAGTTACCTAAATTAAAATTCAAGTGGGCACAGTGGAAGCACCTCATGTTTATATCCAAAGCACTTACAGATCATTATCTGCTGCAATTGGCATATTATAGCCAATTATATTTACCCTGTAGAAGACAATGGACTAAAAACAATTTTCAGATGTTGCAACCAACATATTAAGTTGAATGAAAATTGGAAAATACAGCATAAATGACTGACTGTTTCCCAGTTCCTCTGTGAAACCAAAATTGTATCTATTTCAATTTAAATTGTGAAATAACATGTAATTCTATACTTTACAAATCCCACTTTAGGAATGATTTAGAAGTTAAGAGTTTGGTTACGCTTTTCAAGTTATAAGAGGTGGAGAAGGAGGATATGCAAATTCATAGTGCTTCCTTTGTCATAGTTTTTATCGTGCATAAATTGGCGCTAAGGAATCAGCTGTATGAAAACAGGGATGCTTTACATAAGAAATTACAGTTAGGTTGCAAAACCTATTTTCTAAACACTTAGGCAAGTCTTGTGGCATTTTGGTTTTGCAACTTTTTTTAACCTAAAGAATAAAATACTCATGAAATTGTCATGAAATTGCTGTATTTGCAAGGCACAAAGGCTGCTAAACAAGGCAAATTTGGCACAGAAAACAATCTTTCTTCTTGTTTAGATTTATCCCTGATACAAAACAAGCTGGTTATGGTGAGGATTCTTACCTAGATAATGAACACATAGTCAAGAGAACTGGCCAATTGATGAATTATTTAAAATAAGTATTATAATACTTTGTTCTGTTTAACAATGACAGAGCGCCTAGTGGTTTAAATTTTCTGTTCTGTGCTTCTTTTGGAATTTTGATACCACTTGCGGATAACTGTTCCAGAACTACTGGCTACCACACAAAGAGCACCTCCCACTGTCCACCATCTTGGTATATGATTAAGAAAAAGGACTTGAAAAATAAAAGCAAACACCACATCCATGGTTTTCATTATAGCAACAGGACCAGCTTTTTCAATCTGTAATGCTTTAGTAAGAAATATCTGACCGCCAAGTCCTAACAATCCAATTGATATTAGGAGAAATCTGTCTATACCACAATTGGGCAAAGTCCATGCGTCCATTATAAAAAGTGCTATTATACACACAATCAGCCCAATTATTGCATAATACCAAATGGACAAAAAGTAATGGACAGATTTTCCCACTTTTCTTAGGATCACAAAAGTTAAGGCAGCGGCTACTGCACTTGCAATGGCTGCTATGGTTCCTTTAAGGTGATCTGTGTAACTTTCTTCCATGTCAAGAACACTGGATCCAAATAGAAAAGGTGGCCTTGCTATAAGCACTACTCCCGTGATTGTAATCAGAGTGAAAAGAAGGTCCCAGAGACTGTATTTCTCTCTGAGGAAGATCCAGGCAAAGAAGGATGTAAAAACTGGGCTGCTGAAGGTAATGACGGTAGCGTCAGCAAGAGGCATCACTTGGAAAGCATAATAAACAAGGATCATTGCACCAGAGCCAAGCAATCCTCGGAGGAAAAGAACCATTCGTTTGTCCTTTGGTCCTAGGAATCCTGTTCTGAAATGAAAGAAACATATACAGAGAGACATCATAGCTACCCTATGCTTGAGACTCAATAATCATACCCCGGTCCCTAACACAGGGGCTTTAAACTTGGCCCTTTTATGACTTGTAGACTTCAACTCCCAGAATTCCTCAGCCAGCATACGTGGCTGAGGAATTCTGGGAGTTGAAGTCCACGAGTCATAAAAGGGCCAAGTTTGAAGACCCCTGCCCTAACATCACACTATGAATTTTAGAACAAACCATGATAAAAATTCAAATTCAAGAACAATACTCTTAGAATTGTTTCATGTAAATTCTCCTAATATCTAATCTTAGTACCTTTTATAACCCATATTCTTAACCTCTATGCCAAATGCACTTTCTTTAAAGTTCTGAAGTCATCAAACTTACTTTCAAGTAAATATGTTTCCAAGTTAAAAAAAAAAGTTAACTGTGAGACAGGTGGCAAATACATTTGATAAATAAACAAAATAAATAAGTATTCCCTATTTCAAATAAGCATGCTACAGGGTATTTATTTAAGCTGCTCAAATTCAATTAATAGAATGCCTATGGAGATTCTCACTCATCGAAATCACAGTTGTCAACTCATAGAACTAAACAATCAACCACTAAGAACAGATCCCTCACTGGCATCAATCCACCATCAAAGGGTGGCCCCAAAACATATTCAATATTTCACATATCCTTTTGTTGACTAGACTTTTTTTCATACAGACTAATCAACATTCTATTACTCTCCTCTGTCTTCATCTGCTACTGAGCTTGTAATTAGGAAGTTCAAACTATGAATGCCATCTTATGAAAGCTATACAAGTCCCATTCAAGTTGAATTTGACTCATGGGGACATCTATGCAATTTTCTGACCAACAGCCAGAAGTGGTTTGCCATCAAATTCTTTGGGGATTTTTTAAAATGTTCCAGTCTGGTCTACGAACCTGGCATTATATACATGTATATGGCTACCCATCTCAAATACACAATACGGGGCAGCTAACAATACTTAAAAACAGAATAAAAACAATATAACAAAATTATAAATAGTAATGTAAATAGCAGGCAGGGAAAAACAACAACCAAGATCAATAGAGGTAATCCTCAACTTAAAACAGTTCATTTAGTGACTGTTCAAAGTTACAACAGCTCTGCAAAAAGTGACTTATGACAATTTTTCACACTTATGACCGTTGCAGCATGGATTTGTCATGATGTGCACACCTATAGAGCCCTCACTGCAACTCAATGGCAACTCAATGGCAACCTCAAACATTGGTGTGGTCCTTGTCTAAGATATGGACTCAGGTGAATGCATTATATATTAAGCATTGTAATAAGGCACTTTTTATACCTTTGCTATAGAAGTATACTGAAACCAGAAGAAGAAAACTGAAGTCTCCTGTTTTATTCACAATTCATTACTCTGTCTTCAAGTCCCTTCTCTGGCTGGGAAATCCCATCAAGATTAAAATATAATCTAATAATGTATAAATATATAAAAATGATAAACAAGCCAACCCTGGGAGAAGTCAGGATTCTCATTCAGCCTGCTAAAATTAGTGTATTCATCTTCTTTCCCCCAATCCTGTTTTACACAGATCTGACAGCACCTTAATTGGATTTAACTCTGCTATCATCACATTAGCTGTGTTTCAGATTTGTAAAATGCATGTCATGCATCCCTGTATCAATTTAAAATATTGTGGAATTAAGTCATGTTAGCTGCAAAAGGTATACCATCATACAATGTTCTGATTAAAACTCAACATATTATACTGTTATATTTAGCCATTCTACATATCCCAAAGGTGCTTTTCAAAAGGCAACTAAACTTTTGTTATATTTTTCTTGAAAATATTTCACTTCTCATCCAATAAGCTTCCTCAGTTCTGACTAAGAAGCTTCTTGGATGAGAAGTAAAATGTTTTCAAGGAAAAAAACCAAGAAAGTCCAGTTGCCTTTGGGAAAACCATGATCTGGATAATTGAGAATCTCCATAGACATATATCCATCCCATATATTTTTGTGCATTTTAATCTTCTATAAAGTCTTTTTGTTTCTTTTTTCACATGCAAAAGGAAGAGAATACTCACCTGAAGTATATTAATCCAGGAAGAACAAATGTTATTTGAAAAACACATCTAATAGCACTGATTTCCACTGAATGAACATCTTCAATTTTCTTTAGAAATAAAGAAGCAACAGAGAACAGGAAGGCAGATAATAATGTATAGAACAAGCCAAGCCCCGGACATCCATTTTTCGTCTTTATTCCTAGAATGGAATAATTGTAGTTTTCAGTTAGCAATGGATAATTAAAAAATGAAAAAACATTTTTGTATGCATGGCGACATCTGAAGAAGAAACACTCACGGAGAATACATTGCAGTTCTATATTGCCTGAGAGCCTCTATCCCTACAGACATGCAAACGTTAATACATATACAGTACATATATGTATACTTTTTAAATTAAAATAAAGTGAATACATAGTGGATTTATACACTGTTATGAAGAATAGTTAATTCTGGGTTACACATTTGGGGAAAATTTGTTCAGATTGATAATATTGAGTCAAAAATGTTGAAGGCCAGTTAATGTAATAATCATTCACCTTCATTCAGAAGAAAAGAGCTCAATCAACTAATATTTTCTTACACATAAAATAATAACAAAAGGAAAAAACCCCAATGATTCACTATATACCGAAGAAAATGATTGTAGACCACTGTTTCTCAGCCTTGGTAATTTTAAAATGTGTGGCCTTGAAGTCCCAGAATTTCCCAACCAGTGTGTGTTGGCTGTGGAATTCTGGGAGTTGAAGTCCGCACACCTTCAAGTTGCCAAAGCTGAGAAACACTGATATTAAGTGACACACAATTATGTGAACCAATTATGTGAACCAACTGAAGCCCAGAAACACAAAGAATATTTTATTTGTTAAATTTATATCCCATAGTTCAAGGTTTTATATATACCGTGTTTCCCCAAAAAACAAGTCCTAGTTTTGGGGCGAGACACCATGCCTAAAACGCAAGCTAGGGCGGGGGTGGGGATATGGAGCTGCTCCACATGCCCCACACCCACTTACCTTGCAGGCAGGCCTCTCCTCGCCAGCCCACTTTCTCTGTAGCATCTTCTGCAGCCAGGCCTGCATTTCTCAGTCACGGGCCTTTACAGAAGGCTACTGCAGCCGAGAACAGAGCTATGGATTCAATCCATATCTTTGTTCTGCAAGACCTCTGCAGCTGAGAACCGAACTATGGATTGAATCCATAGGGGCTGTTGGTACCGGAGGTGAGTATAAAAGACATCCCCCGAAAATAAGACCTGGTGCCTCTTCTAGAGGGAAAAAACAAAATAAGACCTGCTTATTTTCAGGGAAACACGGTAGCACTTCCTCCTCATTTTCCCACCACAACAATTCTGTGAGATAAGTTGATCACATCCACCGAGTCTCCAGCAAGGGTAGACTTGGGCTTGAGCCTCCTTTTTCCTACCTAGGTCAATACGTTAATCACTACAACATTCTCTTGGCCTCCAATTAATATATTTAGAAAGGAAAAACAGAAGAAAAATACAACCAGAATAATTCAGAATGATTATAAGAGAAATACTAAGAGCTTTACTTCAAGACTGCTAATGGATAATTAAAAAGAATTGATGTCATGAGGTAACTTCAGGAGGCATAGGTTCAGAACTACTGTATGTAGCAAGAGAGCTTGCTTATTTATAGTGGCAACAAAAATTCAGAGGCTAGCATCTTTTCTGGCTAACTGTAATGGAATGTGTGGATGACCTTGGGGGAGGGTGGGAAGAGATGCTTTCTAGGAAGCCATCAGAGAAGAGAAGTAGGAGCCCCTAGTGACTTAAGGGTCAGAAAAAGAAACTTAGGAAGGACCCACTTTAACTGATCAAGCTATTAAAAGTCTGTACCTTGAGTTTTGCAAGACTGATGTCAGACCTCCCAAATAAACCAGTCAGGAGACACAACTAAATGAACTAATTCTACTTTATTACAAGGCTACATTAACAGAATCTTGCAAGATTCTCAAGGACTCAGGATGGTCAGGACCAATTAATTAATACATGCTCAACATCCAACAGTAAAAAGAAACAAGAAGTTCTGGGGCAATGTATGCACCTTTTTCTTCTTTCTAAAGAACTTGCTGAAGACAGAGAAGATAATCAAGAATTTTCTTAGGACCTGGATGCTTCCAGAAACTGCATATAGTACTCTTAGGAAAGTAATAATGCTTTACGATTATTTTTTCCCTTCCCCTGTTCTAGATTAGTTCATCTAAGGTGATTAAACAAGCCAAAGATATGTCTCGGGATTTAGTGACTGAAACAAAGCATGATTTGGCAAGGTGCTCCTGTCAGTTGCTAGGCAATGAGGAATTAAACCTGAAACTTGAGAATCACTGTTTTCTAATACTGAACAGCTGTGAATCCAGGGTGACAAAATATAGAAGGTCATGGCCTAGGCATTTCAGATCATGTAGATCTGTGCTAAAATCAGCTTTCAACCAGCAGTGAACTTTCCATTTTGAAAAGACTGAATCTCGAATCACTGGTGACACTAATGTGCTTAAGATTAATAATTATGCTTGATATGAGAAATCAAACATGGATTTTTATAGTATCATGATTTAGTAGATCTAGCATCCAATATCCACAAATGAAAAATAAGTATTGTATTTCTTACAGGTGGTCTGTGGAGAGGTCAAAAAAGTCGAGATGGCAATCACAAATTCCACCCCTTTGTATATCATCGATGTTGCATATGGGCACGGGACTCTTGATCTCTTTTCTACAAATGTCCCTGAGTTCTTACATATTCAAGAAAATAAAGCTGGGGATAAAGTCTTTAAAGACTTCCTACTGTAAACAGAGTAAAAAAATATGTTATATATTAGCTCAGTACTTTTGCCATTTATATCCATTTGTCAAAAATTGTAGTGGTTTAGAAAAAGCAATTATTTACAGGTTTTGTGAGAGGCAACTTGACAATAAAATGCTGCCCGGCATTGATAACTTCTTTGTCTGATCTAGGAGAGATCTTCATATGTTGTGTTTTATTTTGTTTTTCTCATCAGAGACACACAAACTGACAAATGATATCATTGGAATATAAAAATAGGCACATTCAACTATTTCCTTT